ATGAAATCAGGGCATTTAGGGTGTCCATCTCCTGAGTAAAGTACACTTTTGTTTAACTATAGTCACACTACTCTACTATCAATCAGTGAATTTACTTTTTCTATCCTACTGTATATTTGTACCCCGTAACCCTTTTCTCTTTGTCCCCCAGCTCCCCCTGCACTCATCCTTCCCAGTTTCTGTTCTCCATCTTTCTACTCTCAACCTCCACGTGACCTAATTTTTTAGCTGCCGCTTGTAAATAAAAACGTGATATTTGTCTCTTTGTGCCTGTTTATTTCACTTAAGATAATGATCTCCAGTTTCATCCATGTTGCTGCAAATGACATGATTTTATTATTTGTTATGGCCAAATAGTATTTCACTGTGCATATATAGCACGTTTTCTGTATCCATTTGTCTGTTGATGAACACTTAGGTAGACTCCACATCTTTGCTGTTGTGAATAGCGCTGCAGTAAACATATGGGTACAGGTGTCCTGTTGACATACTGATTGGTTTCCTTTGGGAAGAGACCCAGAGTGGGATTGCTGGATCAAATGGTAGTTCTATTTTCAGTTTTATGAGGACTTTTCGTATTGTTTTTCATGGTGGCTGTACTAGTTTACATTCCCACCAACAGTGAACAAGTTCCCTTTTCTCCACATGGAGGTGTCTTAGGGAACGCATTTCTGTTCTCTTTCCCAAATCTCTTTTGGTTATCCTGCCTTGGGTTTATTTTAATACTCTAAACTAAGGGTCAGCAAGCTTTTTCTGTAAAGGTCTAAATAATAAATGTTTTAGGCTTCGCCAGCTATGAGGTCTCTGTTACAACCATTCAGATTTGCTGTTGTAGTGGAATTGAAGGCATAGATGTCTACACAAGTGGACATGATTACGTTTCAATACAACTTCAATTACAAAAATAGGCGCCTGCCAGATATTGTCTGTGGGCCATTTTACTAGCCCTGCTCGAAACCTTCCCCACACTGTCCCTGTCCTCACTGAGGCCTCTCAATGAAGTGTCACTGTGGCTGAACTCCAATGTCCAACCTTTTCAAGTTACATGTGTTATTGCTTGAATATACCCTGGGTGAGTCTGTCCGTGTCTCACATATACCCATAGTGAAATATACATTTATATATTCCTACCACGCACAGTGATCAGCACAAGAGAACCTTAAATGAATAAAACTATCAAGTTACTTTTAATGGCAAAAACCACAATCACTTTTGTGCCAACCAAAATACCTGCATTCCAGAAAGGTTGTGAAAGTATTTCTAGAGCCTGCAGCCATAGTCAAGGTTAGAAAGAGGGCTCAATCAAGGGACCAGAAAAACTAGTCTGTAAACCAACATGACCCAGCAACGTGACCCCAGACAATAACTTTATTATGCCTCAGTTTCCCTATCTACACAATGGAGGTGGTAGTTTACTTCCATTGTGTAGATAGGGAAAGGCCAAATTTTGGACCAGATGATCCCTTGGAGATTATTTCCCTAAATTAGTGTTTTTCAAATGGTCTCAAGCATCTGCATTCCCTGGGGTGCTTTGTGAAAACAGACTACCAGACCCCAGCCTGAGTTTCTGAGTTAGAGTAGGTCCAGTGGGTCTTGAAGTGCCACCAAGTTCCCAGGTGCTATTGCTGCCACTGCTGGTGTTGGCTTACACCTGAGAGCCTCTAGTCTATACAACAGAGATCTCTCAGTCCCTTATACAGGAAAGCAATGTTGGGGGAATGACTATAGCTGACTTCTCTTTACTTTTTCAAAATGGGATTCCTTCTTTAAGGAGAGGTTAGTTCTATTTGCCCACTGAGTCTACGACAGCACAGCCACACCTCAGCAACTAATTCCAGGTTGAAAGAAGGCTGGGGTGGTCCCCTCATGGTGCCATTCTCTGGAGAAGGATGGAGACATAGAGTACTGTTGAGAAGAGAGAGGCAGGAATGCCACCACACAAGCCATCCTTCTAGAACTTTCTCCTTCCATAAACACGAAGCACTGATTGAAGGTCAGCCCTACATAGAGGCCTAGCAGCAAGAAATGTAAGGTGGGATGCAAGGTCTTAAGAAGACTGGGAAAGTGCAAACCGCCCTCAAGTACTCTTATGAGCAAGGCAAAATTCACGTGTGTTCACACACTTGGGTTCCACATCAAGAGAAGTAGATAATTAGACAATCAGGTCATGTGGCATGAAAATAGAGGCATTGCAGAGAGGGTGTTAGTGGATTTGACAGATCTGGGCAAGCATTCCTGGAGACGGTGAGGCGGGTTGGCAAAGGCTGAAAGGTAGAGGAAGAATGGGAGCAGTGGAAAGGCAAGTAAAACGTGAGAGGAAGCGTGGATGCACCTGGAATATTAGCAGAGCGGGCATGAGAATGAGCAGAGGGGACTCTTAGACCTGGCTCTCTCCCTGCCGGTGTGTACTCCTTTCGTTGTTCCCATTTCTGTGTCCCAGTTTCCTCCTTTCATGGAATGAGGGATTCAGGCCAAATTTTCTGAAGTTTCTAAATTTTGTTCACCTTGGAGAGACACCACGCCAAAAAAGGGCAAATGAGCAGATGGAGCTTCTCTCTGTCCCACCTGTCCTTCATCCAGAGCAGACCTGTTTTCTTATGTTTTTATACTCCTTGTACAGTTTTGCTTCCAAAAGTATTTAAAAATTACTCAACAAGAAATTCTATAAAGGCTCTTTCCATCTGCACATCGTACAGCTTGAGTAGAAGACAGAAAGAAGCCAGTTAGCACAGGGAATGGGTTTCTATGTTGGCCAGGCTAGATTCTAGAACAGCTGGAAAGCAGAGAGGGGCTTAGAGTAAGGGAGAGGGAAATAGGGAGCCATTGAAGGTTTGTGAGTAGAGGAGTGCCACAGCAAAAGAAATTGAGCCCACAAACTACTGTACTAGAAACTGATCTGAAAATCTCAACTGCTCAGAAAGTTCTGAGTAAAAACAAAGGGTGATTTTTCCCCATTGTCAGCCTTCCCTCCCAGGTCATTTTACTGTATGCAAAACGGGTAACTGTAAGACAAACATTTTTTTCCACTGCCCTTCTCAGCCCCACAGGCCTTCAGGAAGACCCGAACTTCAAGCAAAGCCTTTTTATTTTTCAACACCCACAGCTTCCATTCAACAATCAGAAGTTTTCCACTTTGATCAAAGAGACTGAACAAGAGGGCCAAGGGAGCAGCTGGTTCTCAGCAGCTCTGGGCAGATCACAGAGCCCTTGCTACCCACTCATGTCCGTGCCTACCAGAGGACACAACTTTCTCCCCAAATCAGTCAGGTACATGCTCCAGAAAACACTGGTTTGCCTCCTTCCCACCTTAATTACCAGATCAAATGAACGTAAACACAGTTTTCAAAACCAGACTCAACTTAGGATCACAGGGGCTTCAGTTTCCTTGACTGTAAAATGGGTGTGCCGCCCCCGACTCTATTTAGCCCAAGAAAACAATTTATCCCTTGATGTCTCTTTCACTTCCAGGATTTATGCTCTTACGGACTCACTGGGAAGAAATATCCAGACCAACTCCTAAAGCCTGACCTAATTTGAGAGAAACTCGGAAGTTTTAGATCTGTATAAGAACAGCAGTGGTAATAGTCCAAGCTTGGCTTTCAACACAGGACATTTCCTTAGGGGCATCTGGGATCTCTGCTGCATCAAAGTGACATGTTGCAGCCAAAAAGTGAGCAGAAAGGAAAGGGGGTGCCACACAGAATGAGCTCCTTCCAGGTTGATACCAAGTGGAGTTTTCAAAGAACCACATCTGGAGGCAGCAGCTATGCAGTGATTCACATTGTAAATGATGTTTTGAAATAGAGATCATTAGTAACCACAGATGTGACCTAGCTCGGTGCCCCGGATAATCTGTCTATTGTATCTAAATTCCAGACTTGGAATTTAGGACACCCGTTGGAATGTTTAACAGGAATTGTCCACCACCACCCCCAAGCCTGTTTTTATTCATGAAGTACTCTGACATCATCTCACTTGGTCTTCCTGATGACTGTAATGCAGACAGGGAACAGGGAAAGCCATAAGGACTTGTACAAGGACCAAAGGCTAAGAAGGGGAGGGCTGAGACCAGACGTCAGGTTTTCAGCCTTCAGGTGCAGTGACGATTGAATGACAGCACGAGCTTTCGGCCAGGCAGGCTGCAAAGTGCACCCAAGTTCTTTCAGTGATCAACACTTGTGACTTTGGTTGAGACAATTTTCATCCTCCCTGAGCCTCAGTTTTCCCATCTGTAAAAAATAAACATTGCCTGCCTGGGAGGGTGGAGGTGAAAGTGGATTGAGTCCACATGTAACTCCTAGCACCGTGCCTGAGACAGTAGAGATTCAATTGTAGCAGTCATATACACACCACACACACACACATGCAACACAACACATACAAATCACACACAGCATGCATCTCAGATCACAAATGCACATCACACACACACTGCATACATATACCATACAGAACACACACAACAAACACACATACCCCCATACCACAAATACACACACATCACGCACAACACACACAGCCCCTATACCACACTGCCTCATTGCCAATTCCTTCCCCTTTTCATGAGTTTTATGGCAGGCCCAGGTTCATCTAATGGTTTAACAGAGCCCAAAACATTCTGCAGGAGTGTTTGTTCAAAGGATGGATGTTTCCAGATTCCTGCTCTCTGACAGCATCTCTGAACCCCGAATTTTATACTCCATGAGCCAGTCCCCCTTTGTGGGAAATCTCCCATTTGTGGGCCCTTTTTTTTTACCCAAAGACCCTGCAGCATGTCCTGTTTTCAGCAGGAGCCAATATGATCAAAATGATCCCTTTGGAGTTATTCCACCGCAGTCCGAGGGATCCCGCCTCCCTGAAACCCAGCAAGGACTCATTATCTGGGGAGGTCTTCTGAGCCGCAGGCCTCACTGAAAGAAGGTGCAACTTCTTGAACAGGAAGGCGTTTTGCGGCTGGGTCTAAACGAAACAGAAGTTGTTTTGTGTGTGCGCACGCATGCACACACACACACACACACACACACACACACAGAGTAGGGGAACCGTCACTTTCCTACGCGCCCGCTGACATCAGCCACCTTCTCTGTAGCTAGTTTCTCTGCACTCAACTTAATCCCTGGCAATGAAAAATGAACCTCTCCCCCACCCTTGCTGCCGCCTCTCGCCTCACGCCCCCAGAGAAGAGTTTCTCCGCCAGGCAGCAGGTGAAGGTTTTTTTCCAAGTCACATGATTCAGGATGCAGGGGGAGAATCCTTCTTGGAACAGAGATGAGCCCAGAGCTGAATCAGATGAGGAGAGATAAGGTGTGATGTGGCGAAGACTATATAAAGAATGGACCCAGGGCTGCAGCAAGCACTCAACGGAATGGCCCCTCCTGGAGACACAGCCATGCATGTGCCGGCAGGCTCCGTGGCCAGCGACCTGGGGACCACCAGCCGTAGCTATTTCTATTTCACCACAGCCACGCTGGCTCTGTGCCTTGTCTTCACGGTGGCCACTATTATGGTGTTGGTAGTTCAGAGGACGGTAAGTGGACTCCTCTTCCTCCCTTTCCCTTTCTTGTTGTTTTCCCTAGAGAAAGAGTCCTGGGAACAAATGATATTCATTCGCTGGGTAAGAGCAAAAAATAAAATTAAATAAATAAATAAACTATATCTATAGTATATAGTATATGCTGTATAACATAATATACAGTATATATGTTATATAACATAATATACAGTATATATTATATACTATACTGTATATACATATATTTGAGAAAGGGAGAAAAGAAAGGGGAACTTAACTCTCTGAAATAATTTGGCTTGTTGAGAGAAATATTGTTAGACCATCATCATCTCAAAACTTTGCAGACCTGTTTGAGCAAAACAGTGGAGCAGAGCTATTGGCCTTGTGAAGTTAAGATTTAATCTTAATGAGCCAAAGACCCATATCAAAAGAAAGAAACAATAAAGAAACCTGGTAAGACTTTACACAAGTTTTTATCATGTCTTCAAGGACTTCAGACTGTATTCCAAGGTTCTGTATCCTAAGTCCGAGTGTCCTGGAGGTTTCTGAGGCCTCACCTGTTGCCAAGAGTTTTTGTTTTTGCTTTTGTTTTATAGAAAGAGGTAAGTTTCAGAGGCCAAGGTCTAGAAGGAAAGGAGGCAAAAGAGAAGTCCATGGCTCCTTAGAGCCTTGGACATTTTGGTGTTAAAACCAGCAAGACAAATCGAAAGCTTCCTCTGAAGCCACCACTTTGAAGAAGTTAGGGCGTCACAAGAAACAGCACATGGAGGCAGAAAGTAGAAAGGCTTTTAGCACCTGTTCTCTCTGCGGTTCCTCACAATACTAAGCAATTGTTGGGTACACACTGTACAGGGTCAGACTGTGTTGGGAAAGCTACTTCGTTTGAAGTAAATGGTAAGATTTGTTTCTGAAAACAGAAGAGGAGAAGAAAGAGGAAGCTTCTTCATATTTTAAGAAATTGGTGTTTACAGAGACTCTACCAGTATGTATTATATAGAAAATACTGTAGTCATAGCCTACATTGCTCATGATTTGTGTGTGTGTGTGTGTGTGTGTGTGTGTGTGTGTGTGTGTGAAGTAAAGTTGTTAATTTCAGTGTTCAACACTTGTGACTTTGGTTGAGACAGTTTTCATCCTCCTTGAGCCTCAGTTTTCCCAACTATAAATCTGTAATTTGGGTAATTTAAGAACTGCACCCACCCACATGAACTGCCAAAGTGAGAATATTTCTGTTTCTTACTTCATAGCTCCTACTTTTCATTATATTATAATCCTGCAGAATCTGTTCTGGTTTTTCTTCAGTTTTCTTAAGCCAAATATTCTATAGCTTATCAATTGCTGGAAAGAACTAGGCTTTAAAAGGCTTTGATATCTGTTTCTCAAGTGTCATGAAGCTTTGAAATTACATAAAGCTTTGAAGCTCATATCTCCACAAAAGTGAAAAGAACGAGTTGCAAATATTTGATTTAGATAGTGGAACTCTTAAAACCCATAATTTAATGGGCTTATCTACATCTATTAAATCTAAGACTCTTGAAAACACTTTAAGGCATCTTCTGTAAGGGCTCTGAAATTTCTGTAATTCTAATTTAGAGTAAGCCAAGGGTGTGTCATTTTGTAGCAATGGTCAAAGAAAAGAAATGGAAGTGTCCTTTAAGAAGTCCTTCAGTGAAAGGATGCAACTAGAACTGCTGAGAGAGAGAGATAGTGGAGGAGTGGGTGGCAATGGTGATGTATAAAGCTAGAGAGAGCTAATTCAAATCCAACTTGTGGTTGAATTGATTTCTTCTATAGAAGAACTGGAGCAGATCTTTCTGCATCATTTTTGTAAATGTGGAAAATGAGAAGCAGAGAGGGAACAGGGCTTGCACCACGTCACCCTGAGAAAGTGGTAGAGCCAATACTGCTTGATTGATGCCAGCAGCATCCCCTTTGCCAACACAGCCAGCCACAGAAGCACTAAGAAACACTGCGTCACTCTTCCCTTGGGAGGTTTATCGTCTTGTGCATCCATGTCCTTCACTTACCCTTCATGTTTGGATATGAAAAGATTCACTGCGCAATCTGATTATGTGGTTTGCTGTGCTGTGATTTCTTAGCCCAGGAAACACGAGTTGCTTCCTTAAAACTAAGGCCTGTCATATTAATAGTAGCTGTGATATATTAAGTGTCAAATGCATTGCTCATGTCATTTCCAATAAATTGCTCCAACATTAATGATTGTAAGACCTAACAAGAAAAAAAAAGGCCGGGCGCGGTGGCTCAAGCCTGTAATTCCAGCACTTTGGGAGGCCGAGGCGGGTGGATCACGAGGTCAAGAGATCGAGACCATCCTGGTCAACATGGTGAAACCCTGTCTCTATTAAAAATACAAAAAATTAGCTGGGCATGGTGGTGCGTGCCTGTAATCCCAGCTACTCAGGAAGCTGAGGCAGGAGAATTGCCTGAACCCAGGAGGCGGAGGTTGCGGTGAGCCGAGATCGCGCCATTGCACTCCAGCCTGGGTAACATGCGTGAAACTCCGTCTCAAAAAAAAAAAAAAAAAGAAAGAAAAAAAAGAAAAAAAAAAAACGCGTTATTCCCCTTAACTTGAGTTATAAGGAAAGTTTCCTATGGGAAGAGTTTCCTATAGGAAGTGGGAATGTAGAGTTACTTGAAAGCAGGAAGAACTTAGACACAGTGAAGAGACTGTAAAATAAACTCTAGGAAAGAAATCAATGGGAGAAAGCCCAGGAGCCAAGACTCACATCCTCATTATTAAAAATGGAATGAGTTTGATGGCCAATTAGCACTCTATATATGATGGGAACAGAGGTGGGGAACCCTAAAAATGGTTTTACTGGCATAAGAAGTCTCACAATTCTTATCCCAAGGCACATGTATAGACAACATTTAAAACAGCTAAGTCATAATGTATATTAAGTGATGGAAGGGATACCATGAGACCCCAAGTTAAGGAGAAAGTGTATTTTTCCAGACGGGTTTAAGAAAAACTTTGCTAGGGATAGAGTTTCAGGTTGGCTTGAGAAATGTGGACAATTTCAAACAGGCAAGGAAGGGAAAGCATAGGAGAGGCACTCTTAGCCAATGGAACAGCATCAGCAAAGAGACAGAGGAGAGAAGATACAGAGAGTATAAGGAAATCATCAAAGCTTACCTTGAGATTTAGCTTGAAGATCAGATAACTCCAAGCTCAAACACCTTGGGAGAGACAAAGGAGGATCGTAGGTTTCTATCTCAAATATTTATTAAATATCTACTGTGTACAGGACATTGTTCTATACCCTTGAACAAAACCAACAAAATCCCTGTGTTTGTGTTGCTATGAAACGTACTTTCCAGTGATATTTTTAAAGTCTCAGTGGTGGTCGTATTTTGTTTTATTTACATTTAAGCCAGCATATTTATAAAACATATTATTTTATATTATAAAATAATTACTTTATATTATACAATAAATGCTATTTTATTTTATAAAATAAACATTTCTATTTTATATTATATTATAAAGTGTTTATAATGCAGTTTATAAATATTATAAAGTATTTTTAAGAGTTTTATGCTTAGTAATGTAGATAAGCCCATTAAATTTTTATAATATAAAATACTTATTTTATATCATTTAATATTTTATAATATACATTAATATATTTTACATATGTTGTAAAATATACTTACATGGTTTAAGAAAAGTAACTAGCAAATAAGAGGAAAAGAAGTAAAAATCTGTCACACCCTCCCACCAACCACTAATCCCTCTTTACCAAAATAACCACCATTTACAGATTCTTGTGTGTCCTTCCAAATGTCTGTGCATCTACAAATACACAGTGCACACATGTCATTATAATAAACCCATAATTTTGCATCTTGCTTTATTCACTTGACACTGTATATCTTAAAGATTCTTCCATCCTCAATACATAGAAGTCCACTTTATTCTTTTGAAGTCGCATAGTATGAGCTGTAAATGCTTCATAATTTATCTGTGCCTGGTAAGAGACATTAATTTTTCTCTAGAATTTTTGCCCTCCGTGCACGTCTGCAAGAATATCTAGGGGATAAATTTTTAGTGATAGAAATGGAATATGCATTTTTATTTCAATAAACATCAATCTGTCTCCAAAGAGATTGTACTAGTGTACCCTTGAGGAAGTAAAAGTCCTATCAACAAAGAGACACCTCTTTACATCAATATGGAAAGAAAAAATTGATTTATCGTTGAGTAAGCAAAAGAGTGCATGTATATAGGCAGCCTGCAACAGACTACAAAGTCAAGATGAAATTTCACACAATTCATCCAGCAAACCAAAAGAACAAAAAGTAAAACTTCTCTTATCTCCTCAAGAGACAGGAATACATAATGAGATAGACTCCTAGGTTAACACCAGAGGCTGGTGTTTACATTTCAAAAAGGCTCTTTGAAACATCCCTGTTTTGTAAACTAGGAGACTGGGCTTCTCTAGCCCCAGGGGAAAATGTAAATAGTTACATTCTAAAAGGTTAGAGTAAAGACTTAGGGATTGGTAGGTTTTCAAGTAGATCATTTCTAGAAAGAAGGAGAAAGCAGCTGCTTATTTTCCCTTTATAAGCAAAGAAAACTCTTTTTTAAAAAAATTATCCCTTTTTTAATTATCTCCACACCAGCAGTGGAGCTGACACCTGTTTAAGGGTAGTGATTGTTGGTGGTGGTTTCGTATTTTGGGCTTATTTTTAGCTCAGACACAAAAGGAAAGTGTAAGGTAAACATACCTGAAACAGCAATAACTAAAGCATACCTTTAGAATAACCATGGAGAGCAGACGTGTCTGAATGTGTGTCCCGAGCTAGAGAATCCAGGAGCGGTCAACCTGGAGACACATTCCTTGTCTATGAGGAACATCTGAGCCCCCAGCCCATCCAGTGGAACATACGCCATCCAGGGGATTGAGGCCTGAGTTTTGTGTTACATGAAGGCCTGAGGGGAGGCTGTTAAGTGAACATACTATAGAAACTGGATGCTGTTTGCAAGTGGT